TTTCCTTTTCCAGCGCGCTGACAAGCATCACAGGTTCTTACAAAATCTTCAGTTTCTTTGTAACACCTCGTCCAGTAAAAAATATCTAGTAAGTCTGTCTTTGGTCTTTTTGACACCCAAATGACCAGAAGTTCCTTCGTGGCACATCTTTATAATTGACGGCTTGAGTTTTTCAGGTATAACGACAAGCTGTCTTTCAAAGCCCATTTTATCCGTCGTTTTTTTAACTAAAAGTTCTTTTCCTGTCAGACTATAGTTCTCATTTTTGCATGTACCTTCTTTAACTTCTTGGATGATTTTAGACAGTTCCTTATCAGCAAGCTGAAGTTGTGCAATTTCTTCTGAGTCAATGTTTTACCAGTTTCATGAGAGCTTCATCTTCCGTATTTAGTTCCGGTAAATTATCTTCTTCTTCAAAAACATCTCTGGATGCTTTATTTTCTTCCTTCATCGGTTCCAAGATCTTCTCTTCAGCTATTTCTCTTTTCCTTTGAGCTCTAGTAGAGACAGCATTAACCTGGTGAGGACAACTATCAGGTTCCTTTCCTTGTTTATTCAACAGTGCAAAAGTTCGATTGCCTAATAAATACCTTCCTTTGTCGAGTTCATTTCTAATAATGGCAGCCTTAGTTATTACTCGCCCAAGATCGCAATTTAGTTCGATCTCAGCCAATGGTAAACAGGTTGGATTCAAATCTAATGGCTGTTGCACCCACACATTTTCACCTGTCAGCATTTCCGGCGTGATGTATTTGCGACAAACTATATCAATACTAGCACCTGAATCCCTTAATATAGGAATTTTATGACCATTTACGTAACCCATACTAGTATAAGGTAATAGAAATTTATCCTCTGGTTTTGCACTAATTCTGTTAAGATTAGCAGGAGATTCAGTACTATTCTTAAGTTTTGGACATTGGGGTCCTTAAATGTTGATAGGACCCACACTGATAGCATTGTGGCGTCTTTCGTTTTTCATATTTATCATCTGGACGTGGACTTCTAGGTCTATGAAACCAAGCTTTGCGAATTAAATCCTGATGACAATTTTTTTTCAGTTTTATTTTTATTATCTGAACTCAATTTACCTTGAGTTAGTGCATTGTATCTTTCTTTCTGCCGATCCACTACAGGCTTTTTTTAAAGTTTCCGCAAACGTTTTCATAGGCATCAAGTTTTTCAGCTAATTTTTTAGATGAAATCATCTCTACCCATTCATCAAGAAAATGATCTCGAATTTCAGGAGGAACTCGACGTTTAAGTTGGTCAATCACCATCAAATCTAGCAACTGATCAAAAGTCTTAACTCCTAGACCAGTCACCCATTCCTTGCAATAATTTTCTATTTCATAATTGAAATCCACCCATGTGGATTCGGTACTCTTTTGATGTTTCATAAATTTCTGCCTAAACTTTTCCGGGCTTAGTTTAAACCGTCTTAACAATAAATTCTTTCACGTGTTCATAGTCTTTAGCTTTATCGGAGGGTTCTCTAGCTATTAACTGGGTTACTTCGTAAGGAAGTAGTCCTAGTAAATGAGATACAAATTCTTCTTTATCAATTTTAGCCCATTCTGCTTGCCTTTCAAACAATAGCAAATATAGACTGATATCTCCTTTCTTGTCATCGAATTTCTGCATAAGGTGACGCAGCTCCGTTTTCGGCCGGATCTGTCCGGTATTTTGAGACTTTGTCTCTGCTTCAAGTCTTAATCTCTCTAATTCATACTGTTCGTTTCTTCTCCGCTCTTCTGCTTCTTCCTGTCTCCTACGTTCTTCTCTTTCCTCCCTCTCTTTCCGTTCTTCTCTTTCCCTTTCCTCCCTCTCTTTCCGTTCTTCTATTATTGTGTCTAAGACTCCTTTGACGAATACTTCATCATAATCTCTACTTTCAACAATTTTCTGTTTTAAATCGACTATTTTCAAATCTGCAGTCACATGAACTCCCAGTTCAGCCGCGAGATTTTGCAAATCTTCCTTACGAGCTCTTCCTAAGTAAGACATTGTTTCTATGTTTAAAATTAACGAACACTGTTTCCTTATATTTCCTCAAAAATAGCTCAAAAAATGAAATATTTAAATTATATGAAGTTCATTCTCTCTACCACATTAATTGTGATTAAAATAAGAATAATAACATAGAGCAATATATATATATCTACCGTCTGGACAACTAAAATGAATATTAAATATAATATCAAATACGGTAATAAAATAAGACAATTTATATTAACAGGAAGTAATAATCTGGTATCACTAATATTAGCGATCCAGTTATTACTTTTTAATATTGAATTGCAATTCACTGAACGCAATAAGTGATACGGTTATTACCGTATTAGCGACTAATGCGACCCCTTTAAAACTTTAAATAATAAAAAAATTGTTTGTCGGCGAATGTAATGTGCATCAATGGTATGAGAATTTATTGAATCTTTTTTTATACAACAATGGATTTGTATATAAACTATCAATCAATGGTATGATAATTTTATTTAAATTTAGATACCATATTTTATACAACAATGGATTTATACATAAAGTAACAGAACATATAATTAACCTATTAGTGGGCTATTGTTATGTGAAACAATCATTGTTAATTAATTATCACTACCGTATATACGGTACATATCGTAAAGTATGAACATGAAATAAATGGTAACATTTCTATCTAGCTAACAGTTTCTACAATCAGTGATTAATAGTAAATGTCTTTATTCACTATTTTGATGATAACTTTTTTAGTCCCCTTCTTCGTAATGGTGTAGTTACGAGGCATATCAAACCAAATTGGCGTCTCATCAACGTTGCCAATTTGCCCCATTGAAAAATTCTTTTCCTTCCGAAGTGTGATGACATACTGCTAAAATGTTAGTAGTTTTCCCTCAAAATCTGCAGGAAGCTTTTGGCATATTGTTGTACGGCGTCTTAGAAATAAGCCCATTCGCTTCATAAACCGATCCACCCATCGATGGCTAGCTTTAAACTCTCGTTTCGGTATTCCAAGAACTTCAGCTCCTCTTTTGCTTTATTTCTTATAGTGTCGCTAGTCACAGGTTGTCCATTCTTCCTCCTTTCACGTACAAATTCCAAAAGTTTTTCTTCAATTTTAGGGTGTCTTCCTTTGCGAGCACCAGTGAATTTCTTTCTACTAGTTTTAGTTGCAAACAGTGCCAATTTCTGTTGCCGCCACAAGCGAACATTGCTCTCAGCTACGTTTAACTCTCTCCCAGCCTTTCTATTGCCATTTCTTTCAGGATAAAGAATTATTTTACGTTTGAAAGTAGCATCATATGACATTCTTCTCAGCTTGTTCTCCATCTCGTGACTACGTACTCTGCAGTTTGTATCCTCTATGCAATAATGTGTCAACGATAAATGTAACGGTAAATGTAGTCGAGAAATACAGTAATCCATTGTTAAGATTTAATTCGGTTGACGTCATTGGTGAACTGCTGACGTCATCAGCGAACTTTACACTCGAATCTAATGCACCATCGAATCTAATGCGCACCCCAATTTTGAGTACTACATTTGGCCAAAAACGATGCGCATTAGATTCGCGTAAATACGGTACTTCCTGTTGATATTGAATTGCCTTATTTTATTAGTTCATCACTGAACGTAATATTAGTGATACCAGATTATTACTTCCTGTTGATATTAAATTGCCTTATTTTATTAGTTCATCACTGAACGTAACTTCCTGTTGATATTGAATTGTCTTATTTTATTAGTTCATCACTGAACATAATATTAGTGATACCAGGTTATTACTTCATCGCTGAACGTAATATTAGTGATATCAGATTATTACTTCCTGTTAACACTGAACTGCCTTATTTTATTAATTTATCACTTGAACGTAAACTTAGTGATACCATTTTAATGCTGTCTCTACTAGAGTTCAAAGGAAAAGAAAATAGCTGAAGAGAAGATCTTGGAACCGATGAAAGAAGAAAATAAAGCATCCAGAGATATCTTTGAAGAAGTTAAATCACCGGAATTAAATGTGGAAGATTTTCACGAAAATTTGAAAAACGATAAAGAAATTAATATTGAGAAACATTTTGCATTGCAGTGTTATCATCATCTTTCGGCTTTTGATTTAATATCAAAGCCGCTACTAATAAACGAAGAAAACAATTTTCGAAAGCAAATGACAATTGAATATTATCCGAAAGGCACAGATGAACTGAGGAAAGGCTTTGCTGTGAATTATAGCCGAAGAACTGGTCCACCATGGAAGAGATCTAGGTGCCGTCAAGAAAAAAAAAGGAAGACTAGATCATTCTCCATTTTTTTCTATTTAAATGTGGTGTAAAATTATTTGTTTAAACTGAAAAATTTTGGCCTGAAGTTTGGAAACTTATCAGAGAAGTTACCTTTCCTCTTTAAGCAAATGAGCAAGCCAAGCTTATTAAACTGTTGAATTTTACAGAACTTTTCTCTTCAGAAAAAGTCTCTCTGTTGGGGGAGAGGTTGTAACAGCTTTAAATAATATTAAAATCTTTTAGTTTAAACAATTTAAATAGATGAACATTAAGGTATTTGTGTATGGCAATATTTGAAATCAGACTCGAGTGCCACGTGCGACTCTCGCACGAAGAATGTAATTTATTTTTAAATGCTAGAATATGTTTTCTCTTTTTGTTTGTATGTCACCATTTTTTTTTTTTTTAGTGTTAAATAAAAGTTATTGCTGTGTTCCATCATTGGAGTTGCTCCAAAGAAGTATCACACCACTCAACATAAAATTAAATATCATATGCTTTTCTGAATGGCAATTCACTGGTGTGTAGAGATAAGCATTCTATTTGAAGCTGTGGCAACACTTTACTTTCGAAGAACTGAATTTGTGGCTTAAAATTGAAAAATAGTAAATATCATACATTTTGCCAAATGGCAACAGTCTGGCATGCTGGAGATAAAAATTATACATCATACATTAACTGCAGCAGATATATTACAGAATTCAAAAATTTTAAACTTACCTTCATACTGGGCAATAATATTAAGAGTTTCATCAGGGCCTTTATGAGCAGATGTTACTCTCAACACAGTGGGTACTCCAAGCTTCTCACATGCATCCCTAATTTTCAAACAGTGATTTTTATCAGACGGTGATCCCATCAGTATTACAGCCTGAGCTTTTGGTGCTGGAAGAAATTCCTGGTAATAAAGAATTCTATTAGAAATATTAGATGTACTAAAAGTATTTAATTACAATTCATACAACTATAGATAATTACATATTACAAATATATGATTTAAAAAATAGAAGGCACTGCATACATTAACAGTTACACATTTTCTTGATATACTTTGTCTCATCTTGAACAATGGTAATAGTAATTAATAAAGAAATAACATTCATTTCTTATTTGCAGCTATGAACTTAAAAAGAATACACAGTTCGTTTGGATTTCATTTAATTATCACATACAAAAGAAAATAATTATTTTATAACTGTCCCATTTTTTTTCAGAATTTCATGGAGAAAGCTATAGAATTAAAATAATGAGAATTTTCAAAGAAACATCAGCAGTATATGGAATTCAGACCTTCAGTTACAATACAAATTTATTCCTAATGGATGATTAGATTTTGCACAAAGAATATTAGACAATTTGTATGTCTTTTCATTTTTATATGCTTTGTATGTATACTACTAAGTAAACCTGATTGAAAGATAGTATTTCTGTGCCTTTCTATTTCCTTCAGTATTTTATATTTGAGTTGAAGGAAAAAGAAATAATTCACTAATGAAACTATACTCCAATATTCCTGCATATGGTGGCTTTGATCATAAGTGTGATCTTGTTCCTTTGCTTTTTTTTTTTTCCCCTTATATGAAAGAGTAACGGTATTTCCCGGTGTAGCTCTTCCCCAGTATTTAGTGTCAGGTTCCGAAAAAAAAAGAAATACTCACGTAATTTTTCTTTGTCAATGCTTTCAGAGAAGGAACTTCTCTAAATTTTAAAATTGATACATCCATGCAGTTATTATTTTCACATTACTAGCAAAGACAAATCATCACAAATTAGCTGCAGTAAACGATTCCCTTTTAACACTTGAATTTTATGCCAGCTTGGTATAAGAACCAATAAATCTCAGTAAGCAAACATGAATTGGCATTCAGTCTAAAATTTTGCTTAGTTGCACATTCAGCTTTGGAAAATTGGGTTGTATTCACATCCACATGGGGAAGAACTATGAAAATCAGCCATGCAGCCAGCCTACCTGTCTGATGTTGGACTAAGGTCAGGTCAAACTACTAGTATTCAACAGTTTTGAACACTCAGCTACTCTGGTGAGGTTGAATTCTTATTGGAATGCAAGTTTCTTTTAAAGAAATAACATTGTGATAGTTATCTGTAGTTTATACATCATTACTTTTCAGTTCTTAATCTAACTGCTAAGTTGTTAATCTAACTGCATCCTTTGTAAATTAAATTAAAACTGAGAAGTTACCTCCAAGACCTGTTACCACTGAGAAGTATGAATATATTTCTGTTGCTTTAATAAAATAATGTATTATTACAGTTTGAAAGATATTACCATGTAGTTAACAATAATTTATAGACGTCAGCTGGCATCATTTTATTTTATTCTTCCCTCCATCGCATAAAAGGGGTACTTAATTAAATTTTCATTTTTAAATATTTCCTTTGAGTCTGTGTATACATATATATTATAATATTTTGTTATTTAACAAATTACTATATTTGATATTGAAGTGGCAATGCCATGTTTCTATGATGTAACTGTTGCTCAGCAACATAAGTTATTTAAAATTAGAATTCTAAAAGTTTCACCAGCTAGCAGATGTATGAAAAATTTGTAACTAAAGAATTGTATTCAAATTATATATTTCCATAAACTAAAAATAAAATTTATGATTTACTAAGAAGATTATCTGTTATTTTGTCAATTACTGCAAAATATATTACAGTCTTATAAAACTGAAGGCTCCACCCAGATACTGTAAATTAGGAGTGCAATTATCAGTTTTGATGGTGCTGGTCTCCTAATCCCAGAAAAATGCTGAAATTTTGAGAACAAGTTTGCTAGTACCAATTGCCGAGTTTGTTATTTCACGGAGAAATGGATGTAAGAAGTCTGCCGTTTTAAAGCAGGTTATTTAAAGGTTATCTTCTGTGCTTCTACAACTTGTGTCCGAGAAAAGAATTGTCAGATAAGAACACTGCTGATATCCGAAGATAAGAACAACTTTTGGTTTTCATAAAGAAGTGTTTATTGAATTTAAGTATTTCATTTCAGAATTATATTTAAATAGTGTAAGTTTCTGTGTAAAATAACTGATACTAAAAAATAGGAGGAGTAATTATTAATTGATATTTGTGGTAAAGAAGTATTTAAAAAAATTATTATTTAGCCTTTACTGTTATTTGTATTGAATTTTTATGTTGATAATTAATATGTGTAAACCATCCCGGCATTTATATATATATATTAAAAAAATAAGAGCTGCTAGCTGAGTTTTAGAATTTGTTGTCAAGCAGGCGTATGGAAAATAAATGGTGTGGTGTATTTAATTATGGCAAAGCACACTAGGGCTATCTGCCAATGAGGAGGGATGCCTTTCGTGGAGGACTTTCTAAGGGAAACTGGCTCGTATATACGTTACACATGGGGAAAACCACGAAAACACCCATGCAGCCAGCCTGTTCGTGGGATTCGAACCTCGGACCGAACTACCAGTGTTCAGCGACTTTACCGCTCGGCCGCTGGTGGGCTATGGAAAATAAATATTAATGTCAAACTGACTTACTGTGATTTGATTATACTGCAAAATTGGCAAAAGTTTTTCTTAGTTTTCACCATCTAGGCATGTGGTGGATAGTAACGTCATCCCAACGTATTACAGAGTGTATATGATTGTAAAAATTATATTGCCAAACTGGCAAAAAATGTTTTTGTTATCGCCAACCAGGCGTGGAGATATATAGTAAAATCATCAAACTGACGTCTGTAAAATGCCATTGTATTACCTAACTGTCAAAGGCATTTATATAGCTAACTAAGCTTGTGAATAGTGAGTTAAAACGTCAACCCGTTGTAGTATTATATTATTTTGTGCCAATCTGGCAAAGTTGTTTAAACAATTCTCTCCAATTGGTCCAATTGGAATGAATTTCGTATTTGACAAATTAAGTCTTACCAGAAATGATACATTTTTTAGATTCAATTTCAAAAGGAAGCCTATTAAAGGTAACTTGTCCAGCATGTCATTCTTAGCTAGGAGTAAAAAACAGGATTTAAAAATATTAGCAGAAGAGTTAGGTTTAACTATGAAACCTGAATTTAAGATTGCTCAGTTGCATAAATTGATCACTGAAAGTCCCGGTTATGATGAGGAATTTACTCGAGAACTACTGGCTGCAAATAGAGAAGAAAGAGAAAGAAAAGAAGAATTCAAAAGAGAAGAAAGGGAAAAGGAACACGAAAGAGAAGAAAGAGAACACAAACGCAGAAAAGAAGAAAGAGTGTTTAGGTTAGAGAAACTTCAATTGGAAGCTATGGCTGCAAGAGCACAACCGACAGAAATTACACAGTTACCTGAGCAGCCTTTAAAAATCAGAATTCGCAATGTCATGCCCCATTTGAACCCTAAAGAAGACAAAATAAGTTTATTTCTGGTGTTATTTGAGTCTCAAGCTAAAATTATGAATATACCTGCTGAAAATCAAGTGACTCAACTTATTTCATTGCTGCCTCCTGTTATTGTTTAGCCTATTGCTAGAGAACCAGAAGAGGATGCGAAAAAGTATGAATATGTAAAAACTTTACTGTTGCAACGATTTAAATTGAGTGCAGAAAATTTTCGACAATTATTTAATAAACACCAAAATCTACTGAAAGTACTCGGTATGATTTTTACTATGAATTAAAGAATTATTTAGAAGGATGGCTTAACGGATTAAACATTAAAACTTTTGAACAGCTAAAAGATCTCATGCTGATTGATCAAATTAAAAAGCGTACTTCTCCTGATTTCAAAGAACATTTTATGGATGAATGGACTACCATCATTTCACCTACTGAGATGGTTAAAAAAATTGAAGATTTTGAAGATGTGAGAAAAACAATAAAACTGAAATTTTCTGCCAATTGCATTGAGAAAATTTACAAAGGATAATTTAAACCTCGTTATGATAATTTTGTGAAAAAAATAGAGCATCCGCCTCATTTTAAGCATTCTGATAGACGGGATGATTCAAAATACCAGAAAGATCATCAAGAAAGGAATCAGTTTCAAAACAAAAACCAAGAAAACGTATATGACAAAAGATATCGATCACGCTGTTTTGAGTGCGAGTCATGCGAACATTTTAAGCCTCAGTGCCCTCACTTAAAACCAAACGAAAAGGTAAATTGTGTATCTTCGAATGATGATTTGTTAGAGACATATACAATTAATGGTTTAGTTAATGGTATGAAATGCCTATTCTTCTAGACACTGATGTTATTTCTCGAAAATACATAGATAATGCAAAAATGACTGGAGAACATGTCTGGGTACAATATCTTTTAAATGACTATTTAGTGTGTCTACCGTTAGCGGAAGTTGAAATTAATTGCGAACTTGGTCAGATAAAGACAAAGGCAGCTGTTGTTACAAATGATCCCAGCAGATATGTATTGCGTAATAAAACTGCCCAATTGTTCAAAGATAAATCATTCTTAAATTTTGAAAAAATAAATGTGATTTTGACATGATCTCAAGTAAAAAGATCTCATGAAGAAGATCGAAGGAGAGAAACCGAAATGGAGAAAGTAGAAGAACTGACGTTTATTGAGTCCGACGAAGATATTTTACCGCAAGCTGATGAAGGAGACAAGGAAATTAAGAAAATGATTAATGCTAATTCTAAGGAATTAATTGAATCTCAGCATCAAAGCAGAGATCTAGCCTCATTGCTTAGCGAAGCTAAAAATGAAAATTCCACCAAGACAAATGATTTCAAAGTAAAAGAAACGGATTGTTGGTGAAAAGGAAAATAGATAAAAATGGAAATGAAAGGGAATTAATTGTTATTCCTGAAAAATATAGAGATCAAATAAAGTCATTATGTCATGATAGCACATCTGGGCATTTAGACGTTGTTAAAACTAAAGATAGATTAACAAGATATTTTTACTGGCCT